ACACAGAACCAACCTGCCCATACATATAACTACACATTACCAACCTGGCCAGATATAACAACACATTACCAACCTGCCCATATATAACTACACATTACCAACCTGGCCATATGTAACTTTCCATTTCCAACCTAAACATAAATAAAAACATATCAACAACCTGGCGATATATTTCTTCTCATTACCAACTTCACATTTAACCCACGTGACAAACCTGCCAATAATAAGTAAACCTGTCAGCGCATAACCACATATTACCAAATATTACCATACATCAGCATACATCAGCATAGATCTTACAGTTCTGACAATGAAACTGCCCATATATAGTTAATTTTTTTAGATCAAATTGATACATGTTCTTCGGTCAATAAATAAATCACAAAATGAATAAACAAGTACAAAAATTAATCGCATCACTATGTGAAAAAAATCATATAAAAAACCTCGATTTTAGCACATTGTTGATAAATATTTAGGGGTGTTATGCTGTTTGAAAGACAGATCTGTGTTATAATAACTTCGGAAATGATTAGCCTTTGTACTTAATTCATACTAATGATTGTCAGAAAAACTGATTTACAAATGCATTTAAAGATAAAAGTTTGTTATTTTTATTTCTAGAAAGAACGCTTATTTACATTGTAAGCCTTTGAGACATGGATAAAGGTACTATTTTTTTAGAATCACAGATTTCATTATAGTAATAGCCATTCCATTTTAATTAGAGAATATAGCTTTTTTTCGTTTTTCCGTGGTGATGAAATTTAAACGCGGGAAGCGCTAGATGACATTGAACTGCTAAAATAAGACCGCAATTAAAATGATTTCACAATTTCACAGAACATTGGACATTATCTTGGCGTAAATTTAAATATTAATAACTGAAAATCCTACCCGCCATATTGCACGTATGGCTTACAATGCAGACGACATGCATTTCGTAAACTAGCCATCTGCCATGCGCGCCTTTGGAAAAAATAACGGATAATTTTGCAGGCGCCTCTCAAAGTGAACGATATTCGGTTTTGTAGTGCCGTGCACACGCATTTTCGTAAAAAACAATAGAAATCGCGAAACAAAGCGACGCAACTGAGGGGAAGCGTTGAAACTTTGCAGTGATTGTAAATGTATTGTTTTTGTTTCATTTTGTCTGATTTTCACCGCCAGATGTAAAAATTAGCCGTGACTCAATTCCCATGCAGCGTCAGCCAACGCCCAGACACTTTACGGAATCATATTTTTTTTATTTTATAATCCCGAACCAAATATGGAAATTCCGCCAATTAATTTCATTCTTAGCGCCTTTTATAGAAATGATGCGTTAGAGTCGGCATATTTCATTTTAAAGGTCACTGTTCCAAATTTAGAAATGCATTTTTAGTATTGTTCAGCATTACAAGCGGTGGTATTTGCGCTCTAAGATACTGCACAAAAATCTACAATAGAAAAAATGGAAGACTCTGTAAATCTTTTTGATTAACGCGCAAAGAATAAACGATTATATAGATATAGTTCCACCATCAAGTGGTTCGCCATATTGTAGCCTATTACCGAAACACACGCATGTACGCGTACCTAAAGACTGAAATGATGTCCAACATACAATACTAATAATCTGTAAACAAACATTTTATGACACAAAAACAGCGACAGGAATATCAGTGTAAAGGTAACTGATTTATTTACTGATTTCAAATATTAGGGATTTTTGTTGTTGTTTTTTTCTCCAATTATTATGTACAGGTAAAAGCTATCTTAAACGGAAAGGTTTGAGTAACAATCTAAGAAATTACCCAACAAAACAACAACAACAAGCTGAATATCAAACTTGCAGATAGATGATTTGAGACAGATAAACATGTGACTAATTCTCGTCCAGGGCCACTTAACACATGATGCGGGTATTTATTTTATGCACCATGAACCATTTCGCTAATTTTGTTTTCAAAAAAAAAAGACATTACATTAATTTTGCACAATTTATGAACTATTAAAATCGACGCTTATGTTAAAATAACTCACGTGTTACAAGTGACAGATTCTGACAGCAGTTAAATAGATCATTTAGAAAATAATTAATTATTGAACGCAACAAATCATCAGAAGCGTTACGGACAGAGTATCTGAATTTAGCGGTTTAACACGCAAAAAAATAACAGTCACGCAAAACTCATGTTTCACAAATACCGCGTGCGTTCCCTGGGCTGCACTTATCAATTTCTATTGACATCAGACTGGCATTGGTGCGTCCCGACATTCCTTTATATATTCCAGCACTAATGTACTGGAACGCGGACGATGAGTATTGGCATCGATCAGCTGTCGTCTGATACCCCAGTTATAGAAACAGGTCACGTAATTTCATAACAACTCACTCATTAATGTTGCATTGGTTTTAAGTAGTTCTATTTTAGGAGAACTTTAGTATCTGCTCATTTAATGGTGCTGTACTCATCTACAGTGCATGTGGCACCATTCAGCTGCTCATTAAATTGATATTTTATGTCACAGATTTTATACAAGAACTATTGAAAGTCCTGAATTTATCTTTTCAATTACAAAATCAATTTAAAACATTTAAACTTTCATCTTATCTGTAATGATATGTTTATATCTAACAAAAAAGGTGGGAGTTTATACTACAAAGTGGTTATATTTTGATTTTCAAATTTTTTTTGGAGATAAACATTTCGTATATTACTCTCAGTAAATCAGATTCTTCTTAAATCGTTATCATAAAATTATAATTGTTTGATCTACAGCATCTTGTAGCGTCCTTAATCTACACAAAACAATTGTAAATCAATATGATGGCATGTCAATGCTAATTATTTCTTTTTAATTCTTAAAAGTTCAATATTAAAACTAAACTGCTGTTTAAACAGAAAAATGCATCTTCGTCGTAATGCAAAATGCTAGATCTGAAGAGAGAAAAAAAATGTTGTTATATAATAATTTCACTCGGCATTCCTTCATCTGAGAAATCTAGCATCGTGTTTTAGCCTACACGAGAGGAAATCGACGTTGCCTTCTCGTTAAAATTAAATTTGTGAAATTAGTTTAATTTACATCACGATATTAAGAGATCAATCTGTGAATGCCACATTTAATGTAGATAAATTAACCTCCTGTTATAACAAGTGGCTATTTTTAAATTGTGAACTTTAAACAATTAGAGAAATGGACATTATTCATAAGGATGAGCTGGATTTTTTGTTTGTTTGTTTGGTGTTTTGATTTCATTGTAAAGTTATTACTCTTATTAAAATAACTATATACTTCAATACTAAAAATTCGATGATTCTTGGAGATTTAAAAAAGATAAATGACCCTGCTCCCTTATAAATAAATTTTTGAGTTTATTACCATAGTAAAAGCGAAAATGATATAAAAGTTTTAATTATTTTTCTAGTATATAATTACGATGTAATATTTTTTTCTGATCGAATGAACAAAAACTTGTATGATATTCCATTTGGAAAAATTAGACTTATTTAAAACATTAAAAAAACAATTAAATGAAAATAAAAATAAAATGATATCTCAAGTAAAGAATTTTAGCAATATTTTCAGTATTAAATGATTTATCATAACGTGTTGTTATATAACGATTAAGCATTTTATATGAAAAAAAAAATACTTGAATTTACTGGAGAAAATAATAGATTGTGTCATGTTGAACATTTTAATTACACGAAGCGTTACTCAGGTGTATTTATATTTTCACATGTCATACACGTACGAAATGAATAAATCATGGTAGTTCAAAACAAGACAAAAGTTTCCGTTCCAATATGCTACTAGGATTTTTTTCTGTTTTGTTTTTTGTTTTTTATATTTAAAAAGATGCTTGTTACTAGGCATTGATGCCCTGCTCTTAAAATTGATGAATTGGAAGGAATCAACTCATTTGCATACATTAAAATCCGACGCTCATTAAAATTTAGCAAAAAAAATGAGAGTTATTAAATACATCATTTGTTTCCAGAGCAACGTGCGGAATCAAGATTATGGTTTTGTTCTATGGAATCTCAAAGAGTCGTTCCTTTAACAGCTAAAATAACTAGATGGACATAAAAAATAGTCCGATGTTATAATATACAGCTGTATGCAAATTAGGCGCGCGCCAGTCGCGCGGGGTTTTACAAGCGCTTTGATAAAACTACGAACAAATCAAAATTTAGCTGGGCATAATTTTATTATGAATATTCAGTATATTTGACAATGAATGAAAAATGGAACTAAGTTTAAGATGACAAAGGAAAGAAATAATTAAATATATATGCGCGCTAGAAATATTTTTGCTAAAATTTTAATATTAAAAATATGTAGAAAAATATTCTAATTGCAATGCATTAATTTATTAAAGTGTACTGAGTACCGTCTTACAAATAGAATTTATTCGATAAATTCGTTTATTTAGAAATCTTATTTGTGATCGAGTTCTCGGAAACATTTTCTGTTTCTGATATTAAACAATTATGAATATTGGTAATACATCATTTGTCAACTTTATCAATGTTTGACAAGGGACTTAAATAAATGAAGTTTGCGTCATCGATAAAATTCCACAACATCAAATCTATAATATTCTGAAATGTCTTGATACAATTTAATTACACCTTCCATACGCTTTGTTTGCTTAACTCTCAGAGACAGACGGAAACTCAGAACATCGAAAGATAAGACATATAAAATGAAGTCAAAACAAACGCTTGTAAACAGTCAAAAGAAATTTTATACCTTAACAAACATTTACGTTCCCGATACAGTAAAGATGTACAAAAATGTTTATCGACTTTTCAACGGCATTGTGATTCATATTACCGCAAAAGCAGATAAGTGAATGTAAACATTAAATAGCTTCAAACCAATTTACTACAAACTGTCGCCGCCATACCGTAACATAAATGTGACAGCTTGCACGCGACAGAGGCGGGGCTTTAGACGAAGGCGGGACTTAACAGATGCGGAAGCTGAGTCGTATAAATACTCTAGATTTTGAATTTTTCGTCGGATTTGGTCGTTTTCGTAGTTTATGACATGTGAGTGTAATGCTATGTGACAAAAACATTAAACAAAAGACAAAGAAATGCTTTAAGAAGATACACTTAACTAATGTGACCAAATCCCGACGTTAAATTATTTTTCGTAACTTTCGCAAAATTAAGCATTACACAGCGAGAATAAAGCATCACCAAAAGTGCCTTAAAGTGACACTCAGGAAGTTAAGTCTGTGTTCAAATACTTATGAGCAAGATGCCAAAAGGATTTCTTGTTAAAAGGACAAAACATGCTGGGACATTTTCACATAGAATTCGCAACTTTTCGGATGATGATAGGAGCGAAAGCGGTTCAGATCAAGAGCACGTGCACACTAATTTCGGATCACCTGACTCCGGTTATTCAGCTTCGCCAGTGTTCGCTAGTTTCCGCGAACGTTACGGAGGCCAGTGCGTCGACTTCAACGGCTCCAGATCACCAGTGTCGTCACCACTTACTGTAAGTACGAACACTTATCCTTCACCACTGTACTACTCAACGTTCGACCGTCTGTCTGTTTGCAGTGATGTACCTTTAGATCTCAAAATTTCGAAAGATGTAGATGACAACGATAATTTGAAACCAATTGATTATTCTTTTACACCACCGAAATCAAATGACATTGATTCAAAAGCTGAACAAATTCTAAAACTTACACCTATAAGTCCGAACAAACGAAGAGGAAACAGCGAAAATTTGGAGAACAAAATCAAATCGACGAAAAAGCCAAAAGCTGCAAGAAAAATAAATTTCGACGAAGACAATTCATCCCCTGTTTCTGGAACAATAATTCGTAAACTGACAGACGAAGATAATGGTGGAAGAATAGTATGTGGTGATATAGACAGTAAGTTTAATTGTGTTGAAGTTACGCCTGAAGCAAAAGCAGAAATCGCAAAGATTGAGAATCGAATCGGAGACTATGTCTGTAGATTGTGTAAAGAACTCTTTGATGACGCCTTCAAACTCGCTCAACACCGGTGTTCGATGATCATCAACATTGAATATCGTTGTCCAGAGTGCGATAAAGTTTTCAACTGTCCTGCAAATCTAGCGTCTCATAGAAGATGGCATAAACCGCGACCAATAGTTAGCAAGAAAAGTAATGAACCAACGAAAATTCTTCCAGCGATTTCGACAAACGAACAGCAAAAAGACGCCAAAACAAAGAACGGAAATACAACATCTGAAGAAGGTCACTATGCTTGCGACAAATGCAACAAGAAATTTCGTCGCCAGGCTTATTTACGGAAACATCAACAAACGCACGTGACAGATGCCATTTTTGTTTGTCAGTTCTGTAGCAAGATTTATCCAAATGACAATGCACGTGCAAAACATGAAATGACACATACGACAGGAAAGGAGCTCACTTGTACGCTGTGTATGACTTCGTTTCCGAATAAGATCGTGCTCGAAAAGCACGTGCGCCAACACGGAAATGATACGTATAACTGTAAGTACTGTGACAGCACGTTTTGCAGCTCTCCGGGTCTAACCCGTCATATTAACAAGTGTCATCCATCAGAAAACCGTCAGGTCATTCTGCTACAGATTCCAGGTAACCGTACCAGCTAAGAAGGGATGCCGTTACACGTTCTAGTAAACTGTATAACTTAAGCAGTAGTGCCTTGTAGATTTGCTAGTGACAATTAAGGTGATGGTGCCTTTTGCATGGAGACGTTGTGATATATTGTTATACTAATTTGTGTTTACTACAAAGTATTTGAAAGACAGGCGGTTAAAATATAACAGAGAATAGTTTCTGTGATGGAATGTGCCTTCAAGGGGGACAATTGACGAGAAATTATAAATAGGGCTTGAGTTTATAACGAGGAGTATATTTTACTGTTATTATATCAAAATATTCAATGATATATGTAATTATGTGAATATAATATAATTTTTTTTGCATAATTATTACCTATGTTATGATCTAGTCGATTTGTAAGCCTTATTTAATTGTTATTATTATTTTAAAGATTTTTATTATAATTTATGATTTTTACGGTGCAATAACGTTAATTTCATAAGAAAATTTTATTTTGATGAGATGATGTGCAATATAGTGTGTAATAAGTCCCAGTGCAATATTTGTATTACTACATGGCCTTTCAGTGATACTGTGCAATAATTTATTTATTAAATGCTTTATTTATTTATTTTATATTTTTTTAGTCAGTACTTTTGTGCAATATACCTATTTTTTTCTTTTTGTTCAGTTTTACTTTTTTTCTTAGTGCAATGTTTTTCGTGCAATGTCAGGCAAGTGCAATATCTACTTTGCAATAATATCAGTGCAATAACTAATGTGCAATAAATACTGTGCAATTACATCTGTGCAATAATAAACGTGCAATAATAGATTTTCCAAACTTTACTTTTATAACAGTGCAATAATTTTTATTTAATTTACTATCATTTTCAAATCTAGTGCAATATTTTGTTTATTTTTATTTTTACTTATTTATTTGAAGTGTGCAATCTAGTTTCTTTCATATTTCATTATATTTTTTTTTACATTTTTATATTTTTTATAGTTTTATTTCTTAAACTTTGTATATTTTTTAAAGGAATTACTACAGTAAATATCCTTGTTTTATTACACACACAGATATTCACCATAAAAATCCTTATAAAACATCATGCTCATAAAGTTCATTTTTCGGTAATCTGCCAAACTTTTCAGATACTTTGTATTTTTCTACTAAAACATATTTTAACACATATAACATGTTTTTGGTGACTGTAAACATCAAGATTATTTTATTTATTTTTTATAATAAAAATTTTTCAGTTTTTAAACTTTTTTTTCACAAGAAAAGGAAAAAAACATCTAGTTTTTTCTATCTATTTTTATTTAAGTTTTTATTTAATTCGACTTGTTAGATAATGAATCTTGATATTTTAAGTCATCACTCCTAAGGGAAATGAAGGCAAAGTTTCTTATTTAAAAAGGGGGAAAATGTAACTAATTGTTTATTTATTTTTTTTTGGATACTAAGGGTTAACAACTGAATGGTTCAACCAATATTTCGTCCTTATATCGAATTTTTTGATAAAAATAATTTCACATTTTAATATACATTGGGGAACAAAATTTAACCTTTACAAGGGGTGGGGGGGGGGGGGTAAGGTTTAAAATAACTTGCCTTTATTTCCGAGGAGTTATTTCATTAATTCACTTTATGCCTTTGATTAATTGCCTTTATCATTCTTCACTATGTTTGATGATAATTAATTGTACACATGTTATCGAATATTTTTTCAATAAAGGATGAAATCCCAGCTATTGTTATTTACTCAGATTTAGTTTCTATACTTAATATATTAAAGACCTGGTCTATGTTTTATTCATTTAAATTTCTCAGCAATGCAGTTTATACAAGTAATAAAAGTTGAACGCCTGTAACATTACAAATGTACTATATTATAATAAGGTTCGGTGATATGAATTACCGCTATACATCTGTGCCCTACTGTGTCAACATAAAATTTCGACAAAGTTCCGCTCGCGCGCGTTTACCGTTAAACCGTGCTTCAACAATTTTTGATAAATTTCTAAATATTTGAACTTGTCGATTATAACTGTACTTTGAAAACATCGGGTTCCCGAAACAACATTTTCGAAAATTCTCAAAGTGCGCCAGACAAAGAGATCAATTTAATTCTGTTTAAATCAGCGGGTGGAGCCCCGAACACATGCCGTTAACTTCTTTTGTTTAGTACTCAGTTTGTGATGTACAATACCGATCGTCTGTTGAAATACTATCAAATCTTCCAATACGCCATCTGCTGTGTTCAAATATCAATACTTTTATCAATGTTTGAATAGTCTACCCGAAAAACCTGCTACATTCAACATTCGGCGTCCCTCTGATCTTGACGATGATTGAAATCACCTGGCGGACCCTGATCACCTTCCCTCCTAAAAGTACCGCTATGGACTTTTAGAAGTTCCCTTAAATGGTGATTTATTTTCGGATATTTACCCCGTAAAATGAAAATAATTACCAAATTACAGGTATCCCTCGTCATCCAGATGATAAACGGGCAGATAAAATTGTTATAACTGTTCCGAACAGTTGAATCGATTTTCACCAAGGTGATAGACTGTGTGACGAGATTAAAGAAGTCTCCGGGAGGTCTTTGTTGGACGCTGGAGTATCAGTCAAAAATAACTGTACACCGTACAATAACGGACTGCAGATGTCACCTAAAGTTTTCACTTGCCACGGTGATATATAAATAGATGATGTATTTAGAATCGAAAATTTAAAATTTTACGCTGAAAGTCTGTTACTAGTTTTTCAAAACAAAGACAATTAGAAACATCTGGTAAACAAAAACATCAAACAAAGTGTTTTATTTTTTTAATTTTCAATTTTCAATTTATCCTTATGTTCGTGAAAAGGTTTAAAATACAAATTTAAGTGCTAGAACACATCACTTTATTCTTAAAACAACTGTACGTTTTCACCATTTTATCCGGAGCCACCTAATTTCCACGGAGCATGTTAGGTACTGTAAAAACTTTAAAACGTGATATCAAGATTATTTTTGTCAAAGAATTAAATGAGAAGCTTAAAAATAACGTAATCGAAATCATAATTAATATGCCACAAGAATATGTTACCATAGAAACATGAGAAACATAAATACTTATATACCTATATCAAGATGAGTATTGAAATTTCTATACAAACAAGTGATTGTAATCATTGTATACTTAAAAAAATAGTTTAATTACTTTGATACACCTGTGATATAATACTAGTTACTGATCTTGTATAAGTTACACGTAGTTTAAGTTTGAATCTGCACGTTTAAAAGCAAAGCTTCATGCTACGATAACAAGAAATTCTTGACTTTTATCATATCGACTGTTGCGTCATGACCGAAAATAATCCACCCGCATTCACATTTAGATGCTTTAACGCGCTGAAAGAAATAACGTTCGTCACGCAATAACAATTTGTCGAGAAGAGGCCATATCAAATAATTCTTTGCGTGACGAATCATTTATAGTATCGGAATACAATTGTCTGCACACAAAAAAGAGACAAATGCAATTCATTAAAAAGACATGTTTTTTCCCCCTATGTTTTATGATGGTATGCAGGCACGCTACTTTAAAGTACACATGCAGATCAGATAATCAGATGACTCTCTATAGATTTCAAGATATGATTTTACTTAATACTCAAGACCCCTCCCCCATTGTTATCATTGGTTATCTATATATCTACTCGTGTTATACACGACACGAATTATTCTACATCTTATAACCTTATAAAGACTATTATCAAACACTTTCAATAGCATTGTCTGTGTTTTATTTAATTTATTGAAAAAATATTTGTAAAAATACCACTTGAAAGTGTCATAACGTTTAGTATTTTGAAGTGGATTTTATTACTATATCGGAGATGTTAAAAACTTTAACATGAAGCATTCTATTATGTTTAATTGTAGTTTACAGTATATACACGATACATGATTCAAACATCTGTTTAAAATGTGGTTAAAAAAGAAATTAGATAAGTGATATAACAGTAAATTTATAATAAAATACGCACTATTCTATCAGAAAGAATAGGTACATGTACAAATGAAAACTAATTTTTATTCTTAAAATGTTTTTTTATTCTTAAAATGGTCTCTTCACTGTAGAAACGGGCTAAATACAAATGACAAAAATAGGAACAAAAAGCACTGCATGTTATATTTAATTTAGTAGTATAAGATGTGTTACTCTATACTCCACCGATAAATTATCCGACTCACTCACTCGCTCGCTCGCTCGCTCGCACGCACGCACACACGCACGCACACACACCAACACACATACACACTCACGCGCACGCACACTCACTCACTCACACACTCACACACTCACCAACTCACTCACTCACTCACTCACTCACTCGCTCACACACTCACCAACTCACCAACTCATTCACTCACTCACTCACTCACTCACTCACTCACTCACTCACTCATTCTGCTTAATGAAATTATGACACTTAGTTACTAGTATTCAATATATCATTTGTTTTCCGTGTGTTAAAGACTTTCCATTATAATAAAATACCAACGCAATTTAGCAATTTTTGATAATCACAAGAACCAACCTTACAAAAATGAAACTTTTTTTTTACCAAGGTTCGGTACCTCTCTCACCCCTTGGTACGTGCACGTCGTGAAGTTTCACAGGGCATCGGCAGGAGATTTGGAGCTTGCCAGAAATTCAATACACCAAGGACACGTTGACTGGTTAAGATACAAGCATCGTTTTTGCACACAAAAGGGCAGATCCTTGTGATCAAACCACCACCATTACCTACTTGGAGAGTTAAGTTTTTATCACCATCTACGAACCAACGGAGGGGCCCTACAAAGAAGGCAGGGACAACGAGGAATGGTACAAGTGTGGATACGTGAGCCCGTATTACGGTTCGACGACTTGAATAGCAGTTTCCTTTGCTGGCAACAACAGCTCTTATCAGGGCTAACTTCATTATTGTAACTGGTTACCGTACATTAAGGTGTTCATTGACCATGTTATAGTGACCTACTTCCGATTCAAAGATCATTTCTTTGGTTTATACTCTGTGGAAATTGCATGAAGGTAAATTATCACCATGTGCTTCAAATAGCCTCTAAAGGGCATGGATGGTGACATATCCAGGGACCGTACTCGGGGGTAATGGGTGTTCATTAAACATAGACTACATACATACATTCGGTCCTGTAGTTCATATTATGGTTAAATATCTATATGTTTAGCGTAAATTCAAAGAATTGAATGGTGAACATGCAAAATACATAAATATAAATAAAACATTAACAGTGGACTTAATATCATTAAAGTGTGTTTCGAAATCAATTTAATTACCAATACAAACAATCTTGACATTCATGAAAAAGAATGGGCTAGCGAACTGTTTGAAATGAAGGACAGAAACAGTAATACATGTACATATCCCTTTTGTTATATCATTTTCAAGATAAATAGTAAAAATCTCAACAAGTCATCGCAGAATTTATAAGAAAGGAAACTTAAGTTTTTGCGACGGACGCGCCCTCAGGCGCGTTCAGAGCTAAGTCATCTACACATGGGATTTCGTTGGCTACACTCGCGCAATGTGTCCTAAACCAATTAACAGCCCAAGAAATAGTACATGAATTTGATCCTTCAAAACTCCCATACTTTGTCTGGATATCTTAATGTCTTCCATATTTAGCCTTTTCAATTTCAAATTAAGTTATCCAAGTTAAAATATGAAACGTATATAATTGATAAAAACGTTGTAGTCCGTAGTATTTATTGCGCAATATGCAAATTACTGCTGAAACGATTTACCGCTGTCGAAAAAAGTAGGACAGCAAATTATACTTCAATAAAGGTGTAACCTCTGAGTTCCAAGACATTATTAGTAGGAAATAAATATTTCTACATTATACAAAACATTATTATTAACAAATCAAAAGTTTTTCGTGACTCTAGGATAACTCGCGCATTAATAAAAGAAGAACTTTTTTCGTGACTCATACGCGGGTTTAGCTGAATATTCAGCAGTTATTAATATATATTAGATACAGTACAATGGCTAGTATAAATATCTATTTTTGAAAATGCATGTAAGACACTTTACCGCCATATAGTCTTTCATGGTAAGGAAGTTATAATATCAGTTCTACTTCGATTCTTGTGGTTTGTTTACATATTTTACTAGGTCATGATATGAGTTAACCTTCGCTATTCTAAAAATAGATTCTGCTTCACCTGTTCTGATTTTTGGACAGAGCGATTAGAAGTACACATTAAACATGTAATTAATAAACCAGCGGATTGTAATGCAATACTTTTAGAAATGCTATACAATTGTAAGAGGCAAACAAGTTGAAAATGGAATTTAGTGTGAAGTTGAAAAGGACAACTAAACACTGTAGTGCTTAAGTGACATTTAAATTAAAATAAAAACGATGTGCTCTGGCCTCTACATCTTTACCTTGTAAATAAAAAAAAATCTAAGAAATACACTATTAATTGCTGATGATTTTAACCAATTTTTTTTTTAATGAGACATATCCAAGAGAAATAA